TTGGAGAACTGTGAGATAATACTTGGGACGAGTATGAGTAGGTGTGAAAGGTAGTAAAGGCTTATACTACCGGAAGCACAAGACTCGTACTTGGATCAGGGAAAGTCACAAGGTTAACAAGGCACTAGTAATTGATTGTGTTTTGTTCATGTATGTCATTACCATTGTTTCGGTAATGACGAAGAAGATGATTGATATCCCGGCTCTAGTGGTCATATCATATCAAGTCCGACTTAGGATATGTATTCTACGTGGCTCATAGAACCAATTTTGATGTAGCATCTGACTTAAGCCAAAAGATTGAAGTAAAAGATAATCGAAGCGATCAATAGAAGTATCGCAATCGTCGTTAAAGTAAGAAGCTTGTAGCTAGAAGTGCTACATGATAGAATGTGATTATATCACATTAGAACATGAAGAAAAGAATCTTCCATTCTAGAATCCGACTTAAAAAGACCTGAGTCTAAGCGTTACATCATACGATGAGAGGTCATTAGAACATGACCCATCGGTCGGTTACGGTAATCGAATTAAAGACCTTATCCTAAGTTAAGTATGTTTAAGAAGATGCATGAATCTCCAATAAGGACCACGTTTGTAACTCGAAGGTTACGATTTAAAGTCCAACATAGGATAAATAGTGAGTGCAAGATTGGGCACCACCAACAGTCAAAGACTCCTAGAGTTAGATACTCATTTGAAAGGACATAAGAGTTACGATTACCACCTAGGATGGAAAGGAAACATACGACGTCATTATACAACCCTATTTTGTTGATGATTCCGGGACGTAATCATCCTAAGGGGGAGATAATTGTAAATACCCGCAGATTCGAGCTAGTCAATTAATATATAATAAACGTTAAAAATGCTATTTTTATTATCTAGGATAAATAATCTTTACCAAAGTAATAATTATGTTCAACAATTGTAACCTATTTGATTTAATAAAGAAGGATTATATGAATATTATGTGTTTCATGATTATTATTATAATATAATAAAATAGAAAAAGTCAGTTGAATCGTCCGTAAATTGTAAAAATAAGTGCACCAAAACATATATATATATATATATATATATATATATATATATATATATATTGAAAGTACACGTTTTCCTGATCCCGAAAATATAAATTTTGTAGAAATCTGACTCCCTATGAATTATATATGATTTTTATAAGATATAAAAGTCAGTCGCGCACAACGAATGTAGACGTAAATAACTACGAAGAGAATGATTGACTTTTAGCTAAAGTCACTAAAAAGAAAATCGTAGAACTCTTTAAAATAAGAATTTTGAGAAAAAAAATGTCAAAAAAGGATTTTAAAATAAGAATTTTTGAGAAAAAGAATGTGGATGACATCTATTGTATGCTTGTAAGGATAATTCTTGATCAATTGATGAAAAGAATGAGTGATTATGATGCGAGAGTCTATGATATTACAATGAGGTAACATGTACCCTATAATCACTTAAATTTTATTGAAAGGGGTATTTAAGTCAATTAAACGATATTTAAAAAATGAAATTTTCGGATTTTAATGGATTATTGATTCTCGAAATTTTAAAAATATGATTTTTTTGAAATTAATTCAGTTTCAATTCTAATGTAATTTTTAATAATAACAGATTTTATTATGTCAAAATTACATTCTGTTAGAATCATATTCTATGAGAATATCAATAGTAAAATAATAAAAAAGTTTGAATCATTCTCTTAGAATGATAACATTAACATATCATTCCAATGCTAAAATGTTAATATAAACGATACTTTTTAAGAATGTGATAACACTTTTGTGATAATGAACTTAAACTACAATTAGAAAGTGAAATACATCAAAATAATAAAAATCTTATTTTTTTTTTTTTTGACATTCTTGAATGAATTCTTTTCTTCTACTTGGTTCATTTCCTCCGTGTATGTAATCAAGCACAAATACAAAGCTTCATTTTGAAATAATACTCTCCCAACGTTGAATTCTTTTGAAAAAAAGATCGTGATTCTTGAAACAATCCTTATTCTCGTTCTTTATTCGTTCCTACCGTCTTATGACATTCTTATAGAATATCATTCTCGCAGAATGACATTCTGTGATAATAACTTTATACGAGGCGTTGTAGAAGGAGATGAACTCAATAATAACAGCTAATCCATTGGTAAATCTTGAAACTTGTGAAAAACATGACAAACAAAAATCTTGTCTCTTAGAATTTTTAAGAAACAGTTGGTATGCACTAAACAAATAATTGGTTATCAGTTAACAACAATAAATGATTTATACACTTAGTACATGGTGTGAATATATACCGGTAATAGGAACCGTAAATTAAAAACAAATGCTAAATGCAATAACAAAAACACAAAACATTTAAAAGTAATAAGCTAAAAATAAGAAAAAATCAATCATATGCTGTCTAATGATGACATTTTTAAAGAACTTACTGTCTAATGAAGACATTTTTTTTAACAAACAAAGGAATTAAATCTAGTAGTTTGTAGCCAAAAAAAGGAATTGTAGAACTGACAAATAAGGAAGATTTTATGATAATTGACAAAAAAATCAATCATATATATATATATATATATATATATATATATATATATATATATATATATATATATATGATATAACATTGTGGGATTGAAATCCATATGAACTCACTAGGTTTTCCAACCTGACTCACTCAGTTTATTTGTATCACATGTGTCGATACAAAGTTGCATTACACTGAGAGATTAAAGAAGATGTCAATCACTAGTGTAAATGAAAGTAAGGTCTGTTTATGATTATATTTTTGTATTCAATATGACAACCCAAAGTTTTAATATAAAAAAATATATTTCTTCGGAAATGCTTTGATAATATATTTATCATGCTTTTCTGGGAACAAATTCCGCAATATTATTCTTTAAAATGAATACTCTGGTTTTTGAATAAGCATAAATAAATTTTTTAAAATGACCATGAATTTGGGATTTCACATGGAATAAAAGTTACAAGGAGATGGGTCAATTTCACAAATCCTAAAAGGCTAGAAATCTTCCCTACAGAGAGAGGAAGAGAGTCGTCAAAATTTCAAGCCAAGGTACTAGCAAAGATGTGACCCCTAAGGCCCTATTTATAACATTGGATCACTTCCTAGATTTTATCATCCATCCTAAGTGGGAGAAGGAGCCAAAAAACGAATTTCACTCATCTTCCATGTGGGATGAGGAGTTTTCGTCCAACCCTAGATCATATAAGGGTTCTTGTCGCATCCCCGGTCGAGGCGGCGGAACACGTCGGGCTATACGACTAAGTTCATGGATCATACATAAACTGAATATATATAGCACAAGTACAACAATAAACAAAATAACATTTGTGTTCCATCTTGATATTTGAATACAAGGTTTTTTACAGATAAAAATAATACATGAATTGCCTTAACAGATAGGCTGATAATACAATAGTTAGTAACTATGTCACCTGTAATCCAATCCATCTTAAATGTATGTTTAGTAATTTCCTGAGAATACATGTAGTTTTGAGGGTCAACACAAGGTTGGTGAGAGTTACAGGTTTTCTTCTAACAGCAGTAATACTTTTAATAAGTATAAAAAGTATTTTATTTGTATGTATAGCAATACTTAAAACAGTGTTTGCAATGAGTCTTTAAAGCAAAACATATTTTTGTATAAGTAATACCATACTTAAAACAGTGTTTGTAAAGAATCCTTGAATATTCTTAAAAATCAAACTGTACTATTATGTAAGTAATTCCATACTTAAAATAGTGTTGAAAGCAACCAAGCCCATGGTTTGTAGTGTGTGTGTGTGTGAGAGAGAGAGAGAGAGAAAGAGAAAGAGAAAGAGAAAGAGATTCTAGTTAATGTTTATAGTGAGTCTGATAACCGAGCTATGTGACTGAATGTACCCCCTACAACGCTTCATTGGACATTCTAGTTACAATTGTAGAAACTTATCACCCGCTTTGATTGATCGGTCGAGGTTGTAGCTAGCAACCGCAGGTGGGGATGTCAACCCCGTATAGATCAATACATATGTATCTCGCTCCGAAGATTAACGGTTATAGTAGTGTGGGTATGCTAAGTGTTTAGACTCAACTAATGAATATAGTCTCACTAAAAAGCCCTTAACCAAAGTATGTGAATAGCTCTCAGCCCTAACTTATTTGTGATTAAGTCACTAGGCATAATGAATTTCATTGTATAAAGTTTATAAAAGCCGAGTATGCTTGGTATGTATGTAAAAGTGTAATGTACTCGCTTTTATAAAGATGTATGTTTCAAAGTAAGGAACATATGTACATGAATAAACTTTATGTATTTAAACATATAAATATACATGAATAGTAATAGCTTGAATCCTTGAAATACTACAAAGTTTTATGACATGTTTGTGATAATATACAATGTCACATAACAATCATATATTTTTGTATCATGTAGCATTTATTGTGTCGACTAGTTATTTCATGATAAAATAACCATAATACGTAGACGAAAATTTATATTAGTTTATTTGTAACAATATGTTACATTGTTAAATAACGTTTTTTTATAAACTAGCCTTATTGTATTTTCGCATAAAAGGATAATCTGTTTGTATAATCAAAGTATATAGGTACATGTACACCCCCTCTACAATTTTTTTTTAATTAGAAATATTAAAAAGGAACCATAAGCACTCACCCTTGAAGCGTGAGTTCAATTTGTACGAAATCAATTTATTTGAGAAATTTGTCGTGAGAAACCACAAAGTCACGATTCTTGAACTTCGAAATACTTTCAGGACTATATAGTAACGAATTTAAACTATTAGGGGCTCTTTGGTAATTTAATTAACCAAAATAGGACTACTTTTGTTAAAATAAGTAAAGGAGGGACTGAAATGGTTTAAATTGAGTTGATGTTTGAGTCTTGGATTGATATTGTTAAGAAACCTCCATGGGAGGGGTTATTTTGTTTTAAGTAAACCTAAGTTTGTGGAAAAGGGTTTGTTTGAAATGAATGTTTAGCGGGGGAGGGGGTATCGGTCATTTCCTCAAAGTTTAAAGGAATTAGGGCTTCGTCATTTGTTCGATCAGAATGAAGAACACGAATGACTCACGAAGGCAGATGAACAATGGCGTGAGAAGAAAGCACGAAGCGGCGGCGCAGCATCCGGGCCCTTTCTCGTCGCAGGTCACGAGGAGGATCGAAGGAAGAAGAAGCTTGCAGGCGGCTAATCTTGATGTTGATCGCAAAGAGGGAGGCGTCTGCGGGGTTCGACGAGGAAGACGGGGAGGAAGGGAGAAGCAGCGAGGCTGCTGTGGCCTCGGTGGGCGCAACGAGGAGCGAAACGGGGTGAGCGATTCAATGGTTTTGGATCGAGGGTTCGGTGTGGCTAAGAGGTTGCAAAGGGAAGGAGGCCAGAAAGGGTCCGACGAGAAGTACGACGTCGCAGGTGGGGGATTCGGTGGCGTTTGCTCGACAGAAGAAGAACAGATGTGCGAGAGGTGGGGCTGTTGTCTCGATGGTTCACCGAAGCACCACCACAGCCGGTGGTTCATGACAGAGGACGAAGAAATAGGCAGAAAATCAAGGAAGAAAGGTAAGAAAAAAATTTCCAGCTTTGTTTTAACTAATAGCAAATGAAATGGGAAAAAGAAAAATTCCATTCTCTTGATTTCACAGGTAATTGACCCCTCTAATGGGTGTGTTATCGACTAAAATTTATTGTATGAATGTTTGGTTGATTCATTTGACAGGGGAAGAAAAGGAAGAGGAGAAAGTGGTGAAGAAGATGACGAATTCAGGAGTGTTTGTGGGTTTTGATGTTTCATTTGACAGCTTCAATTAGGAAAGGAAACACGATTCCTTTATGGGTGATTTAATATTTATTTTGTGTGTAGTATAAGCTGAAAGTTAGAAGCAACACCATAATTTATTCTCTATTATGGTGTGCAAGCAATCAAAGTTTTTGGACATTTTCTCATCATACTTCATGTACTTTGAGTTCAAGATAGCAAGTTATGTATGTGCACTTTGTGTTAATTTTGTAAGCATTGTATAAGTCAATAAGTATGTATTTTGTATATGTATTGATGTATTGGTTTATTGGAGTATATATATTTGTATGTATTATTTATTGATTGGCATGGATTGTGTATATAGTTGGTAGCTTCTTAGATAATTTTATTTGTACCACAAAGTCAATTATAAGACGTTGCATTAGTTATACACACAAGTATAGGTATTTGAGTGCTATGGAAATCATATATGACTATATACAAATTCTCATGTATAGTATTATTGAAATTTGACACTTCTTATTTTATATATATACCATAGTAAATTTATGTGCATTAGACACATAAATTATTGTATGGTTTATAAAATTTATAATAACTTATCTATAGTTGATCACAAGTTATTAGTTATGTATCACTATAAGTGGTTATACCCGAAAATAAAATATAATGTTATCTCTATCGTTAAAACTCACATTTATTGGATTGGATAATAATATATTATTTTCATAATATATTGCAAATAATTGAAAGCATATCGAAATCAATAGTTTAAGGTTTCGCGATTTACTGATTCAAAACATCTCATTTTTCGACTTTGTAAATATTTTTACCAAAAATATTTCAAGTATGAAATTAAATATTAGAATATGACTTTAGTCGAAAAGCTTTCTCCGAATTTCCATCTGAGGTCTGCAAGTCTCTCAATGGATACAAACAGTTTTAGTAGTTTCAAGAAAATCAACATTATACTGGTTTGGATTCTTAAAACGGCCGTATCTTTTGCATACGAACTTCGTTTTGGATGTTATTTATATTTTCGGAAACATGGAAACATGTACTACAAGACTATAATGTTTGCTTTGCTCACAATTGCTTAATACAAAACTTCAATTTTCCAGATGCATTTTAGGGTTGTAGTTTGAATTTTTTGATTTGTTTGTCAGATTACATATTTGGAAGTAAGATACCATTTGGTACCTTATAATAATTGAAATGAACTTATTTAATTTCAAAAGATGTGCTAAAACTCAATGAATCAAATTACAAAGAGATTTATTGTGAACTTGACCGTTCACAGTCTTTGACCTAAATTTCAGGATATCACAGTTTTGGAATATTCTGATCAACCAATTATTGATTAATTGCTATTCAACCATTTAATTAATTAAACTATTTAATTAATTATCAATATTTTTTCCAATTAATTTTAATTAATTATTAAACCATAATAATTGATAAACTAATGTCTCATTTATTTTTTTTTACTCAATTTGGGTCTTAAGGGCAACCCAAAAGGACCCTGTTATTATTAGAAATATTACCAATAGTTAACGACGTTGGTCACTCTTTCCAGCACTTGAATATTCACCATCCTTTGCATCATATAAATACATAGATCCTTAACATACTGGTAATGTGTTTCTTCCTAGCATTCATTATAACACTATTGAAGCTTTCTAAGTATCCATTCTCGTCAGATTCACAAGAAGCATGGTGAACTTTGAAGAAAACCAAAGACCATGTCCTAGGCCCCTCTCCATAAGGTGAACAAAGGCAGTAGGTTTTATTTGTTGAATACCTTTCATGGTTGCATTGATATATTCTTCAGTAGTTGCTTTATCGGACCTCTAAAAAATATTCTTAAATTGTGCTCTAGGAAATTCTTTCTAAAGTTCTACTGCTGGTAAGACCTTCTTCACTACCTCAACCAATCCCTACATATATAGCATCATATGATGAAGTTAGAATGACAAACAATATATTGAAATACAACAACAAAATGAATCATAGGTTGTGTTGATGAGACATCAAAACTAGACCATTTCCTTGAATTACAATGTTCAGATACACTGTACAATTATCAATAAACTATTTCCAATTATCTTTGTTCTTACACATAAAACTACCCAATCAATTAGGAATATGTTATTGTTAGCACCCCTACTCACAACACAAAGTAATTCACCTTGTCAATAACTTTTCTGAAAACAACCATCAAGGTTAATTATCCTTCTACACCCTGAATTCCAACCCTATTTCACTCTTTGAAAACATATATAAATCCCACTGAAGAAATTATTTCCATCAAGCATTGCATCAATAGAAAGTTTTACAGTTGAACCTAGATTTGATCTTCTAATCTCTTCACCATATGTCAATAACTTGGGATAATTGTCTACAATTTTTCCTTCAACTATAGTGAAAGCATATTTCTTAGCTCTCCTACACTGAATCATACTTACTTCATTGTCAAATGTTTTTTCATCTCCTCTCTAAGCAGTCTAACACTCATCTTCTGATTGTTTACAAATTCTTGAGCGAAATGGCTTCCTATCCATCTGTAAGTGACAATTCATCCAACTTTGAAATTCCTAGCACAATTATGGTCACTTATAAGAGACTTGATCTGGAAAGACTAATCATCACTCATCCATGAACCCTAAAGCCTAAAAGTATAATTTTCATCACAACATTTAATTAATAGCCATCTACTATCAGTTTTCATAAAACATAGTTGATAACCATTTGCAACTGCATAATTACATAACATATGTTTTAGTTGATTAGGATTCTCAAACCTCATACCTAGCATAGGTTGTTGCTCCTTCCATTCTTTCTCTTCAATAAAAATATTTGGCAAATCATCAGCAACATCAACTTCTTAAGCTTCATTTTTAGCCATGTCAACACCAACAGCTTCAAGATGTCTTATATTTTCACATATCTCAAAACTTGGGACATTAGCCTTTTTATAAAAAAAAAAGTAACACCCTTGTTCTAGATTGGTTAAGCTTACTTGTAACAAGGACCGAAGATGGAGTTTTGGAGGAAACTCTACGCCACGACATGGTCAGTGAAGGAATAACGTGTCAATAGTTATTTGATCGTATGTTTTTGTAGGACCGCCACGGTGTGGTAGTTCTTCAGGCCCAATCCATGACTCTTTTAGGGTTCCCTTCATATTTAAACACCTTTAAGCCATTTTTAGGGTTCCTTATCAGCCTCCATCACCCTCAAATTTTAGAAACCCTAACCCTGATTCCTCCTTGTAAGTCATGAGTCCATTTTGGTGTCTTTGGTTGCTTTTGAAGAAAGAAGATGCATCAAAAGGATCGTGGTGCTTCTTGGCTGAAGTAAAGATCTCTTTTTGGGCACCTTTAGACCTTTGTAATTGTCGAAGTCCCTTGCTTTATGGATTTAGGTGGTTAGATCTTGAATATTATCCCATGTTCCTCATGTTTGAGCAAGTTTGGAGGGAAGGAACTCATAAAGTTGGCAACTTTATGACTCTCCTGAGTCCCAAGAGCATCATATGTTATGGATCTAGTCTTTCATAGAAGTTATTTTCATTTGCTTAAGTTTCGGTCTTTAGAGCTCATATTTGACGTAAAATGGATCTTAGACACGTATTGAACATACATGTCTATAGAGCATCCACCTTTATGATAGATATGGTATTAGAAACCCTTATGGAGTGGTTGGGTTAAGGAATTTTTTGGATTAAGGTCTTATTGGTTAAGACATTATGGACTTTGGTTTTATTTAGACCTAGGGTTTGAGATCTTGATCTCTTTCGGTGTCTTAATGGGTAAAGTTGGAAACGTTATCCATTTAGACCATAGTGTGGACCAAATTGAGCTTTAGATCCCTTAGAATCTAAGAAAGCAACTTAATCCATTATGTTGCTAGAAACCCAGTGCCCATAGCGTGGGATAGGTCACCATGGTGTCGCGACTAGGAATTTCCCATATGTTTGGTTGGGAGAAGGCCACGACGTGGCCAAGAGAGGCCATGATGTAACGGTTGGCTAAAATCAATCTGACCGTTGACTTTGATGTTGACTTTTAGTATGGGTTGACTTTTGGTCAATCTCTACTTTTAGAAGGTAGAGTTAGAGTTTGCCTTGTGTGGATTGTTAGGAGGTGTTTAGCACCCATCTTTTGGCGGTGAGAGATATTAGTTGTGGACGGTGTGGTGTTGCGTGACGTTTTAGTCTGCATTGTGATTCAGGCGAGTCTCCTCATTGTACTTGGTGGTCGAATGCACCAATGTCAAACCGTTGGATAATATTATATAGGAAGACCAAGAGTGACCTAGGAAATTGTATTAAAGACCTGGAGGTGGCTCCCGACAAATTGTATTAAAGACCAGGGACCAAACCCTACCCGTTATATGTAGTATGCTAGTTGTCTTTGTGATACTTGCATGGAAGACCAGGAGGTGACTCTTGGCACTTGTCTATAAAGCCCAGGGTTTTGGCCCCCGACTGGTAAGTAAAGATCATGATACGACTCATGACATAATGGCAAGACTATGGTTGGCACATAGCAATCTCTATTGTATGTATAGTATGTGGTATTTTGGGGAACTACGAAGCTTTGTGCTTACGGTTTTATGTTCATGGTTTCAGGTACTTCCGGTATAAAAAGGAAGGGCTCGACGTAACTGCACAACATCCCCTAGAGTTTTCTGCATTCGCAATCTATGATCTTTACTTTGATGTTTAAATAATATATTCACTTTGATCGATTATTGGGACAAATCGTTTGTATGATTTAATTTTTAAAAAATGAAAATTTTACTATGAACTTTTGGGACGTTACAAGTTGGTATTAGAGCCTTGGTTTGAGGGATGGGCACACTCTTGGGTGTATCTGAACTCAAACTAAGAAATTGGTAAATTTTTGAAAGAAAATTAATTTTCTAAAAAGATTTTTAAAGAAGAAGGGGGTATGATGTGTGCAATCAGCTGATCTCAAGTAAGTGATTCCCATAATACCCATACATGCTTGTTATGTTATATATTATGACAACTTCAAGCTAGATTAGGGCTAAGGATCTGCTCAGAATTTCATGTTAGGAGAGATGCCTTTATATGCCTATTTGTTCTAGCTTTTAGAATTGCATGTTAGTATGGATTTCAAATGATTTTATAATTTGGTGTGATTAGGTGGTGCACTGGTTAAATTTTTTGATGCCTGAATGTTGCTTGTTTTGCGCTTTGTGTGGCTCATATTAATGTGAGCTAGTTATTTCATGAATATGTTAAGTTGCATGTTGCAAAGGTTAAATAATATCAAGGTGATGGATTTGACCCTATTGC